AAAGGATTACTGTTAGTAAATTATGACAATGGTAGCATGATTATATAAAAAGTATTTTCTTTTTAGAGATGCACACTTACACTGATTAAAATAATATATGTAGGATTTTAATTTCAATTACAATAAAAATTAGTATGCGAGAGATACATGAATAAAGAGTAACAAAATTTCAAGAACTGTTGTAGATGACTTATGTGGGTTTATTCTATCAATTTCTTTATTTTATATATTAAATTTTCCATGACAAAATGATTTTAAAGACAAAACAAGGGAAACTTCTGCTCCCAAGAAATGTATTGCATTTACTTTTAAACCCTCTTCCTCCAAGTAGAATTGTAAACACTGAACATTGTATATAACAAAAACATAAGAAAACTTTGAAAGGTAAGCCACAGAATAAGACAAGTTAGTTATAGACCACAGAAACCCCAAATGAAACATCAGCAAGTTCCCTCACAGCTTCCTCCCTTCTCATATACCCAGCTGGTAGACTGGAAATATCAGTGAGCATAGACAGATGAAAAGACTGCACTCTCTAGACAAAAAAGCAGGGAATGGAGCAACTTCTCATGGCATTCATTTTAGACAAGCTGTCATTCTACTCCATGCAAAAAGTACAGAAAACAAAATGTCCCACCATCTAAGCCAACAAAAGTTAAGTGATAATGAAAAAAAGAGGCCATGAATTTGAAGGTGACTGTAGAGGAGTATGTGGGAGCATTTGAAGGAATGAAGGGGAAAGAAGAAATATAATTATTATAACTATAAAATAATTAGATGTGAAAAATGTAGACTCTTGCTTATGCTTGATTGTAACAAAGATCCCAAACCCTCTATCACAATGGTACCAGGAAAGGCAAGTTGGGAGTGATAGTAACAATTTCCTTTTGATAGGATACCAATGGGGATTCTATAAACTTGACATCCATGGTTACATGGAGATAAGAGGATCCCTCCTCTTCTCACCACAATAGTTAATTAAAAGAACACCTCACACCATCATTAATTACCATGGTGTTGATGGAAATCATGAGGGACATAGCAAGGGACTTCTGCCTCTCTCACCTAGGATTGTATTGGCAAAGATACAGGAAGAAACTTAAACTCTTAACTTGCCAAGTACTAAAGATGAGATTCTTCCCCCAGGGGTCATTGGAAGCTGAAAGGAGAACTGTGCTGGGTAGTTTTTGTTAATTTAACAAAAACCCATGCATACCTAGGAAAAAAGACTCTCAGATGAGAAATTGCTTCCATCAGATTAACTGTTGTAAAGTTGTCTTGAGGACCCACCCAGCTCACTATGCTGTCCCTGGTATCCCTAGCAGGGAACCTGGTATGTAGAAGAAAGCAGAGTAAGCCATGAGAAGCAAGCCAGTAAACTACATTCCTCCATGGTCTCTGCTTCAGTTTTTGGCTCTACTTTAGTTCCTGTCTTCAGGTTACTGCATTGGCTTCCTTAGATGATGAACTATAACCTGTAAGCCAACTAAATCCTTTCATCCATAAGTTGCTTTTAGTCTGCTTTTATCACAGCAACGGAGCAGTAACTAATAGAGGAACCACTCAACACTTTGTTCTACACCTAGTAGTAGCAAAATGGCACCCCCTTCTGCTGCCAGCCCAATAAAAAAAAGAAAAGAGATACAATTCAAAAACAATAATTAATTAAAATCCAGTTCTTAAAAAATGTTCAAGTAAAGGATATGTGATAGATAGGGTTTTAGCTGGGGGAGGCTGTAGGGGAGGACGGGTGGGAGAAGGGAACTGGAATTGTCATGTAAAAGAATCCTGTTTCTAATTCAAATTTAAAAAGTTGAAAAAAAATGTTCAAGTAACTCACAGAAAGTCAGGGAAAAATACAGAGAAACAAAACACACAGACAGCCAACAAGAATGAATAAATACAATTGAGATTTAAGCCTTGGCATGTGAACTGGAAAGAACCAAAATGTCCTTTAATAGATGAATGATTAAACAAATAGTGGTACATTTATGCCATGCAATACTAGTTACCATTAAAAGGGCAAACTATATGAAACATAATTTAGACAGAACTCAAGGACATCTTAGAGAAGGTATTAAAACGTCAGTAATTTTAACAGGGTTTTCAATTCAGTTTCTTTGAAGTTTTATTTTTATTGCTTGTTGGGGCCCAAAAAAGATCAATTATGATATTTTGGGGTGCAAACCTCAGCTCTATCCCAGGAGCTCGAATCTCACATTGTCTTTCAGGTGTTGGCTGTTTATCACCAGATGGCTTAGCCTCAGGGGAGAAAGTCTCCTAGTTTGCATAACAACAGACCTAGGCCCACACCTATTCTGAGGGCTTGTGTATGTGCCTAGGGACTGGTGAGAGGCTGGTGAGGACGTGCAGTTTTAGGGGTGTCTCTGGGATTAAAGGAACTGTTTGATATCAGCTTTATACATGATAATAGATGTCTTCTGATATCACCACCATAGTTGGAAAGCTCTTTAAGAGGATGCTTGCATAAACCATGGACTCCAGTCTCCAGTATGGACTGAGAGCCCTCCTGAGATGACAAGATGTGTCTGTCTTGCCCTTAATGCTGAGGGGTAGCTAGGAGTTGCCCTATATACACTCTCCCACTAAGGGTTGGATCCAGGGCTGTTTGGATGGCTCCCATTGCAGCCTCAAAGACATCTGTCCAGAACAGATGGCCTCTGTAGCGTGGGACTGATATAGGCCAAACCCCGGCAATTGCTATATATTAATTTTACAAACAAATGAAGTACAATGGAATATTTTATCAAATATATATAGTATGTACTGATCAAATTCAGCTTCCTAGGCTCAGATGTAGAGGACTTGCTTAACGTTTGAAAGGCCCTAGATTCACCATCCAGCATTGTGAACAAAGAAATTCAACCTCCCTTTGTCTGTCACCCCCAAACTCTGATAATCACTGTTCTTCATTCATATCAACATTTTTAATTCCCACATATAAGGACATGCAATGCATATTTCTGTTCCACTTAATATAATGATGGCCAGATCCATCCAATTTATCACAAATAATAGAATTTCGCCTTCCTTTAAGTCTGCAGACACATTTATCTCTGGTTTATCTCAGGCTCTAGATTGGGCATGTATTCTGAACATAATATGACTTTGAATGGAGAAAAGACCACCATTCTGGAAGTATCATCTACACACAGAGAAAAATCCTTGAGTTGGCAAGACTTTTAACTCTTCCTAGAATATGATGAAGATTTAAGTCCCTGTTTTTTCTTATACTGCTTACATAAAATCAAAGTGTGCATAATTTTATCTGTTTTTCTTTTTAATTACATCTATTTATTTATTTACTGTGGATGTGTACAGACACCATGGTGCACAAATATGTGGAGTTCAGAGAACATTGTTTTCTCCATTTTTTTATTTAAATTAGAAACAAGATTTTTTTTACATGTCAATCCCAGTTCCCTCTCCCTTCCCTCCTCCCCTGCCCCCCACTAACACCCTACCTATCCCATACCCTTTCTGCTCCCTAGGAGGGTGAGGCCTTCCATGGGAGGGGTCTTCAGAGTCTGTCATATCCTTTGGGATAGGGCCTAGACCCCTCCCACACCCCCACCCCTACACCCCGCCCCATGCGTCTAGGCTGAGGGAGTATCCCTCTATGTGAAATGGGCTCCCAAAGTCCATTCCTATGCTGTGGATAAGTACTGATCTACTACTACAAGAGGCCCCATAGATTTCCCAGGCCTCCTCACTGACACCCACATTCATGGGGTCTGAATCAGTTCCATGCTGGTTTCCCAGTGATCAGTCTGGGGAGCAAGAGTTCCCCCTTATTCAGGTCAGCTGTTTCTGTGGGTTTCACCAGCCTGGTCTTGACCCCTTTGCAGAGCACATTTTTTGTGAGTCCCTTCTCTCGTTTCATGTGAGTTCCAGGAATCCAAGTCAGTCATCAGCTTTGCAGTGGGTGGCTTTACCTGGTAAGCTATCTGGCTGCCCCCACACCTTTGTTTCTTAAAGGCAATGTACTTGGACTTTTCATCTTGTTTTTCATGGCATGATCAAATATTTATTTGGAATATGTATAAGCCATACATCAAACAGACTATCGAAGCACTATACAAGTTATTTCGCTGTAAGAGTGTTTAATGCCACCTGATACCTTGTAAATGTGCATCACTGAGTATCACTGGGACCACTTAAATTGAACAGTTGTAGTGGCATCTTGCTTTGACAGTGAACTTTCAGTGGTGGCCACATCTTATGGGCGTGGCTTCTGGTGAGCAGTCCTGACCCCTTATAAGGTAGAAGAAGGGCTGGCTTGCTCTCTGGGGTTGAGGTGAGAGCATCAGGAGGGCAGAGACTGCAGCTTCAGGAACAGGAAAACTGTGGTAGAGCTTCCTTAATAAGTACCTGTTTATCATTTATTTTTAATCTGGTTTCGGAATCATTTAAACATTGCCTTCAAGCAGTAGTTAACCTAATTAAAATTCAGCAATACTCTCATATTTCCTTAATACCACAAAACCCAGTATTAGTAGAACCCATTAATACTAATCCCACTTTTACTAGTACAGAAGGCCCTTGATTTTAATAGTTTAATTTTCTGATGGTGCAAAAGCAATATTTGATCAAGTACTACATATTTTCACTTTTGATATTTTTCAGGTTAGCTACATATAGTGTAATGCTCTCTTGTAATGCCTAATCCATCTTGCAATCGTTAGAGGAAACCCCAAAGACTGAACAATGTATGGTGCTACTAACCTGTGGTGTGCAGTCGTTATTTGGATTCAAGAATTTTGCTGTTTGTTTTTGTTTTGTTTCATTTTAGGATGGGAGTGGGGTTTCTTCTTGTACCTTAGACTAGCCTGAAACACTCTGTGTAATCTAGGCTGGCTTCAAACTCATGATGTTTCTACTTTGCCCTCCTATACTTGATCTTAGCCAAAAGGTCAAGAAGCAATCTACTTTGGCCTCCCGATTGCTAGGATTCCAGGTATGTACCACCACTAATCTCAGATTATTTAATGTATTTTATTTGCAAGATTTTTACTTAAAATGGATTTATTCATTCGTAACTTCAGTGTGAGCCAAGGAGCATTCTTATAGGATTTGTAAGTAGTTTTATAAGATAGCTCATATTTTATTTTTCCTTCTATTACACATAATATATTCTGATTATGGTTTCCACTCCCTCTGCTCTTCCCAGTTCCTCACAACCAATCCTTCTATCTGGATGCACTTCCTTTCTGTCTCTCATTAGAAAAGAAAAGTCTTCTAAAAATAATAATAAAATATAATAAGATAAAACAAAAGCTGTTACATTAAAGTTGGACTAGATAAACAGGAAGAAAAGATCCCTAAGAGAAGGCACAAGAATCAGTTCACTCACTCAAGAGTCCCATAAAAACACTAAACTGGAAGCCATAAAATAAACATAGAAAACCTGGTGCAGAACCTTGCAGGGCCTGTGCATGCTGCTTCAGTCTCTGTGAGTTCAGGTGAGCTTTGCTCATGTTGATCCTGAGGGCCTTGTTCTCCTGGTGTCCTCCATCCCCGTTGTCTCTTACACTATTTCCACCTCCTCGTCCACTGGGCTCCCTGAGCTTGGAGGGGAGGGCTTTAATAGAGGTGTCTTGTTTAGGACTCAGTGTACCAACTCTCATTTTCTGCTTAATGTCTGGCTGTGGGTCTCTGTATTCTCAACTGCTGAAGGAGGAAGCTTGTCTGATGATGGCTGATCTGTGAGTAAAGCAGATTATCATTAGGAGTCATTTTATCACCTTTTTAGATCAGTATTATTTGATTTTACCCTAGGTCTATGGGCTTTTAGTCTCAGGTTTTTAGTCACCCAAGCACTGTCAGGTGTGTGTTTCATTTTGTGAAGCAGACCTTAATTCAAATCAGATATTGATTGGTTACTCCTACAAGCTTTGTGCCACAATTGTCCTAGGATATCTTGCAGGCAGGACACCATTGTATATAAAGGGTTTCTGGCTGGCTTGGAGTTTACATTTCTCTTTTCATATGATACAGAGTACATTCCTGTACCAAAGCTGCTGGAACATAGGGGTGAAGGCTCTCTGTATAGAACAGCTTGACATGTCCATGTTCAATAAGTTGTGTGGGTGTTGTCTTCAGCAATAGGGCCTTGCTGTCAGTTTTTAGAGAACAAACTATAGTCTTGGCAACAGCCTAGGTTGTTTGGAGATTCCCATTTGTCCCCTTTGGTCAACAACTCCATTTAGACATAACCCAAACCTGGGACTGGATGCTTCAGTTGGGGAGAAGAGATGGTCAGGTAGACCTCTGTCTCCCCCATTATTTGGTTGTTTACTTTAGATCATGTGTGTATATGTATGTATTTTAGGGAGTTTCTACTATATTAGGTTTTCATACTAACCCTCAAATGCCCCTTAATTTGATCTGTCTCTCCCTCCCATATCCCCTTCCTCAACCCCACTAGATCCTCCAATTCAGCCCCTCCATCCATCCATAACTATTTATTCTATTCCATTTCCAAAGGAGATCTATCTGTACCATGTAGTGTCTTGCTTTATACCTACCCTCTGTGGTTCTATACACTATAGCTTGGTTACTGTTAACTTAGCGGGTAATATCCACATATAAAGGAATTTATACCATATTTGTCTTCCTGGGTTTGTGATATGTCACTCAGGATGATTTTTCTAGTTCATCCATTTGCCTGAAAATTTCTTTATCTATTCTTCTGTTGAGGGACATCTAGGTTTTTTCCAGTTTCTGGCTATTATAAATAATAGAACAGCAATGAACATGGTCAAGCAAGTATCCCTGTGGTATGATGAAGCATCTTTCTGGTATATGCCCAAGAGTGAGATAGCTGGATCTGGGGGTAAATCAATTCTCATCTTCCTGGGGAATCATCACACTGATTCCACAGCGGCTGTACAAGTTTTCACTACTACCAGCAATGGAGGAGTTTTCCCCTTACTCCACATCCTCCCCAGCAAGATTTGTTGATCTTAGCCATTCTAACAGATGTAAGATGGAATCTCAAAGTAGTTTTATTTGCATTTCCCTAATGGCTATTCAGAATTTCTTTAAGTATTTCCTGATCATTTGAGTTTCCCCTATTGAGAATTTTTGGTTTAGATCTGTACTCATTTTTTAAATTGAGATATTTGTTTTCTTGATATCTAGATTTTTGAGTTGTTTATATATTTTGGATATTAGTCTTCTAGCCAATGTGGAGCTGATTTTTTTAAAAAGCCCTTTTTCTATTCTGTAGGTAGTCACTTGTCCAAATGACAGTGTCCTTTGCCATTCAGAAGGTTCTTAGTTTCATGAAGTCCCATCTATTAATGCCTGTGCTAATAATGATGTGTACAGAAAGTCCTTTCTTATGCCAATGAGGTCAAGGTTATTCCCCACTTTATCTGGTTTTGTGTTGAAGTCTCTGATCCATTTGGACTTGAGTTTTATGAAGAATGGTAAGTATAGATCTATTTTAATTCTTCTACATGCAGCCATCCAGTGTGGCCAGTACCATTTGTTGAAGAAGGAGTCTGTTTTTCAGTGTGGATTTATGTCTGGGTCTTCAGTTGGATTCCATTGATCAGTGTGTCTGTATTTATGCCAATACTATGTGGTTTTTATTGCTATAGCTCTGTAGTACAATGTAAAATCAGAGATGGTGAGACTTCTAGCGATTCTTTTATCATTCAGGATTGTTTTAGCTATTGTGAGTTTTTGTGTGTTTCCATATGAAGCTGAAAATTGTCATGTCAAGATTTGTGAAGAACTGTGTTGGGATTTTGATGGAGATTGTATTGAATGTGTAGATTGCCTCTGTTATGATGGCCATTTTATGTTACTCCTACAGATCCATGAGCATGGAAGATATTTTCATCTTCTGATATTTTCTTCAATTTATTCAGAGACTTCAAGTTTTCATCATCATACAAGCCTTTCCCTTGGCTAGTGTCTTAGTTAGGGTTTCTATTGCTGAGACAAAACACCATGACTAAAAAGCAAGTTGGGGAGGAAAGGGTTTATTTGGCTTACACTTCAGCATTGCTGTTCATCACTGAAGGAAGTCAGGACAGGAACTCAAACAGGGCCGGATCCTGGAGGCAGGAGCTGATGCAGAGGCCATGGAGGGGAGCTGTTTACTGGCTTGCTCCCCTGGCTTGTTCAGCCCACATTCTTATAGAACCTAAAACCAACAGCCCAGGGGTGGCACGAGCCACCATGGGCTGTGCACTTCCCTATCGATCACAAAAGGAGAGAATGCCTTACAACCTGGATCTCATTAAGGCATCTCCTCAACTGAGGCTCCTTCCTCTGGTGACTCTAGCTTTTGTCAAGTTGACACACAAAAGCAGCCAGTACAGTTAGTCATAGCCCAGGATTTTTTTTTAATTTTTTTTTAATTTTATTTATTTATTATGTATACAACATTCTGCTCCCATGTATCCCTGCACACCAGAAGAGTGCACCAGATCTCATTATAGATGGTTGTGAGCCACCATGTGGTTGCTGGGAATCGAACTCAGGACCTCTGAAGAGCAGTCAGCGCTCTTAACCTCTGAGCCATCTCTCCAGCCCCATAGCCCAGGATATTTATATTCTTTGAGGCTACTGTGAAAGTTGTTGTTGCCATGATTTATTTCTCAGACCATTTGCCATTTGTATATAGGAGGGCTATTGATTTTGTGAGTTAATTTTGTAACCAGCTACTTTGCTCAAAGTGCTAATCAGTTTTCTGGTGGAATTGTTTGGGTCATTTATGTATGCTATCATGTCATCTGCAAATTAAGGTACTTTCGCTTCCACCTTTCTGATTTGTATCCCCTTGATCTCCTTCAATTGTCTTATTGCTCTAACTAATATTTCAAGTACTATATTGAATAGGTAGGGAGAGAGTGGACAACCTTGTCTTGTTCCTGATTTTAGTGGGATTACTTTCAGTTTATCTCCGTTTTAGATGATGTTGGTTATGGGCTTGCTCTATATTGTCTTTATTATGGTGAGGTATGCCTCTTGTGTCCCCAATCTCTCCAGGACTATTATCATGAAGTGGTGTTGTATTTTGTCAAGGGCCTTTTCTGTATCTAATGAAATGGTCATGTGGTTTTTGTCTTTCAATCTGTTTTTATGTTAGAATATATTTATAGATTTATGCATGTTGAACCAGCCCTACATCTCTGGGATGAAGCCTACTTGACCATGGTAGATGATCTTTTTGACGTGTCCTTGGTTTCAAATTGCAAGTATTTTATTGAGAATTTTTGCATCTATGTTCATAGGGGAAATTGGTCAGTAAATCACTTTTTTTGTTGGGTCTTTATATGGTTTGGCTATGTGGGTAACTGTGACCTCATAAAATGAATTGGGTAATGTTCCTTCTGTTTCTATTCTGTGGAAATTTTTTAGGAGTATTGGTATTAGCACTTCTTTGAAAGTCTGGTAGAATTCTATGCTAAAACCATCAGACCCTGAACTGTTTTTGGTTGGGAAAGTTTTAATGACTGCTTGTATTCCACTAGGGGTTATAGGTCTGTTTAAATTGCTTATCTGATCTTGATTTAACTTCGGTAAGTGTTTTATATTGAGAAAATTATCAATTTCTTTCCAATATTGCAATTTGGTAGAGTACAGGTTTTAAAATCCTTATGATTCTCAGGATTTCTCTGATGACTGTTGTTGTAACCCCCTTTCATTTCTAATTTTGTTAATTTGGATATTCTCTCTGCCTTGTAATTAATTTGGATACGGGGTTGTCAACTTTATTGATTTTCTCAAAGAACCAACTCTTGGTTTCTTTGATTCTTTTTATTGTCTTTTGTTTTTTGATTGTTTTTATCTTATCAATTTCAGCCCTGAGTTTGATTGTTTCTTGCCATCTACCCCTTTTGGGTATGGTTACTTCTTGTTCTAGAGCTTTAAGGTATGCTGTTAAGTTACTAGTATGAGATCTCTCCAGTTTTTTTTTTTAATGTAGGCACTTAGTGCTATGAACTTGCCTCTTAGCACTGCCTTCATTGTGTCCCATAAGTTTGCATATGTTATGTATTCATTTTCATTCAATTCTAGAAAGTCTTTACTTTATTCTTAATTCCTGTCCACACCCATGTTTTGTTTAGTAGAGAGTTGTTCAGTTTCCATGAGTTTGTATGCTTTCTGTGTTTCTGTGGTTGTTGATATCCAGCTTTAATATGTGGTGGACATAGGATGCAGGAAGTTACTTCAATTTTCTTGTATCTGTTGAGAATTTGCTTTGTTTACAAGTATGTAGTTGATTTTGGAAAAAGTTCCATGAGGTGCAGAGAAGATGTATTCTTTTGTGTTTGGGTGAAATGCTGTATAAATATCTGTTAGGTGTATTTGGTTTATAATTTCAGTCAGCTCCAGCATTTCTGCTTAGTTTTTGTCTGGATGACCTGTTTATTGGTGAGAGTGGGGTACTGAGGTCTCCCACTATCAGTGTGTGAGGGTCAATATGTGACTTCAGTTGTAGTAGTTGTGTCTTTTATGAACTTGGGTCTCCCTGGGTTTGGGGCATAGGTAGGTGTTAAGAACTGCAGTGTCCTCTTGGTGGAATTTTTCTTTGATGTGTATGTAGTGTCCTTCCCTAGTTTTTGTTTGAAGTCTACTTTGTCAGATATTAAAATGGCTATACAGCTTGCTTCTTAGATCCATTTGCTTCGAATATCTTTTTTGACCCTTTACCCCAAGGGGATGTCTTTCCTTGATGCTGA